GGCTGAGAGCCACCTCTGGGATCAATGTTGCCATTTTGTTGATCAAGCAACGCAGATCCACCATGCAAGATGCATTTCGTTTGCTAAATAGCTGTCTGAAGCGCCTATTCATTGAGCAATTTTTCACAGGAGTAAAAGTGGATAACATGATGATGATGATGCCGAGCAGTTGAATAACATCTCCAGTCTGCACGAGATCCATTTGGTACAATGTTTGTATTATATGAATTAATGGTTTTCACTTTCTTTTATTGAACTTAGGTCTGCACCACTGATGGAGCTAGGCTTTTCTTTTATTTAAACTGTACAATAATAACAATAATTATAACAATAATAATAATAATTAATTATAAATTACTTTTCATAGGGTTACAAAGTGCTGTACTTAGTAGAGACAAAAACAAAAAGGGCTAACATGTTGATTTTTGTTCTTTACCTTTCTCTAATGAACAAAACTTAACACATTTAAATCAACAGGGTAATAAAACAAGCAAATACAATAAACACACAAACTACAAAGCTTTAAATATTCTCCAGTTTCATCCATTGAGAGTTAGCTAGTGAGTCTTGGTGTGAGCTACCTAACAGGCTTGGGCCCTGGTCTTCATATGACAGAAAACCACAGCAAAAATATGCTACTTAACTGTGTTGCACTGACACTGGCCATGTGTCAACACTGGAAAATTGCTTACTTCCTCCTTTTACGGTAAAATGGTGGTTAGAAAAAAAGAAGGAAGAGGAGGACAAATTCTCAAATGTTAAATAAGACAGATCCTGGTTTATAGTGAAGTCAAGTTGCAAAGAAGCAATGAACACTCAGAGGCAGACCGGGTCGTCCACTAATCGGAAAGTTGTGGGTTCAATCTCCAGCTCCTCCTGCAATGTGTCAAAGTATCCTTGAGCAAGATACTGAACCATCAACCTGAACCACCAACCACTGATACCATTTACCATCCATATGGGGCGGAGTTAGCTCGACATAAGTGAAGTCTGGATTTCTCAGTCCTTTAAAAGACTTCTGTCAGAGTAACGGACAGAGGACTTTTACAGACGTTTTGTTACATATTATAGCTTTAACTCCACTGACTTGAACTGTGACGTGGGTAAAAGCAGTGAAAAGGCTATGACCTTGAGTTGAGATGCTGATGAGACATTTTCATTGATGATTTTTTTAATCTAGCATGTATCTGTCCATCAAATTAGATTAAAGTCTGATATAGAAACTCAAAAAAAGAGCATGAAGCGAGTGAGTGCTGTTGAAAAAGCAATGTAAATGATCCGAGTCATCACAATGTAGTGTCATTCCACCATCTTCCTGTGTGTGTTGAATGGGGTTCTTTGTAAAGATATAAATGGAAAGAGTGGAACATGGAGACTTTTTGAGCACATTTGCTCTTCTCACTAAAACTCATGACAGATAACAGAACATGTCATGAAAGGGTTGACAACACACTACAATGTGCTTGAAGACATAAACACTGTGTGGAGACATGGATCACAGAATTCTTCTGAATGAGGGGCAAGTATAATTTTAAGGCATGAAGAGGAGGTGGTGGCACACTGAAACAGACATAGGCCTATATTACTGATGTATACTGAGTAATGTTACAGAACACACTGACATACACATGTTCAGATGGACCCCTCTGCCTATTTACACATAAACAAACAGTTGAAACAATAATAAGTTCTGTGGGAAAAAAAACCCCAGATACAATTCAGGTTATAATGAAAATATTACATCCGAGTCCAAAAGTTACCTGGGCCTCCCATGGCCCCCCATGGCCCCCATGCTTCTGTGGTCCATGGTGGTGGATGTTGGCTGACTGTCACTGTGTCAAGTTGTTGCAAGTCCATTATTAAAGACACCTACACTGCAAATCTTTACAGGCAACAAGGTGAAGTGGCATGTCTTTTTCTTGTTTTGTTAAAAAGTAATATTATCCTCGCAGACTGCATGAGACAGAACAGCACTCTCAGAAGTCTGTTCTTAAGGTTTCTGTATAAAGTGACTCAAAGTAGGTCAACAGTGTGTCAAAATGGAATTATGTATTTGTTCTTACAATGAAGAGTAAGAGCCACACAGAAACATTTCCTCAGTTTTCAGACTTGAGGCCAGATGCATGAAGTGTAGTGCAGTTTAAAACTGCAGTAGGTAACTTTTATAATTATTAACTATTATTTGTCATATTTGCTTCAACTTTCACTATATCCTGACAGTAGAACATGGGACAGATAATCTCTGAAAAAATCAGGTTGAACCGCCATGTTTCTACAGTAGCCCAGAACGAACAAACCAAACACAGGCTCTAGATAGGGCCTTTTTCATTTTTCATGAGTTCTGTGGCCAACGTAGTTTCTCCCACACAATTCTCAGCCCGTTCTCATTCCCAGGTCATAAAATACAGACGCCAGCATTCAGTTAGTTGCAGTCTGAAGCTTCACCGCTAGATGCCACTAAATCCTACACACTGGTTCTTAGAGAGAATTTAGAGAGGCTGAGAAAATGCATGGTCCTGAAATAAAAACATGATGTCAGAGGAATCCATCTAACTGGTCACACCCTCGCTGATCATCTGTTATCAAGGGTGAAAATGCAATGCAATGCAAAAATGAATAAAGGATGGGATTGGATTGTTGGATTGAAATAAGTAGGGAATGACAACAAAAGTAATGTTGTAACTAATGACTTTTGGTGGGTAACTGTAATATTAT